GAATTGCTTCATTTATTTTTTTTAACTTTGTTTTTACCTCTGTCTGTTGGGTTATAAATTGGCTGAGCTGTCTGAATGAAGATGTAGCCCCTGTGTTTTGACACCAGAACCCTTGTTAACTTCCTGTTGGGTGTGAAGGATTGGCTCTCTGCCACGAGCATAACGTAAGAAGGAAATTGAGGCAATCTTAACAAAGAATCCATGTTTAGCTGTAAAGACATAAATTATAAAGTTAGGGTAAAGTGGGTAGTTGCTACTCTGTTCTGTCTAAGCAACTTGAGGCAACTGTTGTTGTGATTTGGTGCTATATAAATAAAATTGAAATGTCTGTATTGTTTATTTTCTGGTGAAGTTTGCATACCTTGAGCTTAACTAGTTCTGTCTTCTCTCTGCATGAAGCATTTCCCTTCTCAGACAAAATAGTATTAGAAACCTCATCCTCCAGGTAGAGACTAACAGGTCTGTTACAAGTTTCCATCTGGACAAATACTTTCTCATTAACACCCACATGAAACACATTTGGGGCTGAGATGATGAATCTGCACACAAAAATGAAAGATAGCGTTTGCTGCATCATTCATTAATCTATTTCCCATTAAATGATTTTTCGATAACTATGCAATCTGCAGTGCTGCATGTTCAGTATTATCTACAACATGAACTCAAGTTGAGTCTTAGGAAAGATATATGGGAATACTAATACATGTAATTTATTTAATCTATAATGTCAATCGTCTATATAACAATCATAAATGAGTCAACATCGCATTAAAACATCACATTTAGTTCTTCCTAAATTTACCTGTTTTGCGCTGAACACTCCACGATCCATATTAGGAGCTGTATCACAAAAATGTGGCACCTCATCGCGCTGCTTTGATTTCTTTGCCTGCTTTGACACAGACTTTAGATTAACTGAGGTTTTGTTAGTCATCCACCCCTGTATTTCACAACATTTGGATCTTATCACTGCCCTCCCCCTGGTTTGTTTTTCCAGCTTGAGCTGAAAAAACATCTATTGCATCTTAAAGTGATAAAACTACATGACACTCAAGACATAATATGATAACAGTTTAATACTACTAGATGTAGCATGTGTCCTGATGTGCGCAGATGTGTAACGTACATGTGATTTCCATAGTGTGAACATTTTGGTGTTAAAAATATACTTAATCTGTACAGATTTACATAAAACATAGATTTTAATTTTGCATATTACAATAGACCCTCAGGCCAACATTTCTGAGCGCAAGATGTTTAATTTAAAAAAATCCTTTTTATATCCCTGCTTGGCTTGCTGCCTGGAAAGTGTTTATTCCTTTCTTTCACAATGTGTAACCATCTCAGTTCAAGCCAGATTTCCCACATGTGATTTACAAGAAATCAAGTTCCCCCTCCCATACCTGTCACACTAAACAAATGGTTTATAAATGATTTACAAATAATCAGTTATGTTCATCATTATTCTTGGTAACAGCAGCTTCTTTTCTTTGAGCAAATCAGAGTATTTTTAATCTACTATTAATAATAACTAAAGTGTCCCATTTAACACTGTACATGATCCATATTTGTGTATTGATCGTTCCCCTTTAAACAGCCAGTCTTTTGCAAATTGAGTGGCTCTGGTAATAATGATAAAGACTGAGATGATATCTAAAACTTTCTTTTTCTACACAAACAGCTTGATAAAAGAAAATATTTCATTCATTATATATTTTCTAAGTCAGCAAAGCACATTGTGACATTTTATGTTAAACATCATTATTATAGTTATTAGATCAATTTAAGCTTAAAACATACGAACAATGGAATTAAATTAAAAGTTCAACTTAACATTAATGCAGCATTATATTCACTCGCACAAATGACTCTTGTGGAAATATAAACACAAACATCCATGTAAATATTGAATACCTTAATTCCGATTAAATTTGTCAGGTTAGCATAATGTTCTCCTAAAAACAAATTATTAACACAGACTTCTATGCAGAATTGTAAAAGAAAAGAAAAAGTAAACCCCACAATAATTACATGATATGCCACAGTCCTGCCTCTGAAGACTTAACTGAAATTACCAAAAGTGACTTTAATTTGAGAACCAAGTTCTTGTGGTTGTTATAACTCTAAATAAAAATGCCAATAAAGTTCAAATATAACATGACTATCACTTGAACCATTATAGCAAATGCCTTAATGGTCCACTTGAAAAAGTAAATCTTTTGGGCATTTTTTGGCCTTTAGAGTTCATTATTTGTTTTCACTTGCTCTAACTATACATGCCATGACTGGTTAACTTCGTGAGATGGAGAGTCATCCAGAACAGAGCAGGAGAACAGTTACCATGAAGTCAAGTCTTTGGACAGTCAGTTAATTCCTCTGTTGACTTCTGCGCTTTTGCAGGAGGTAGAGAATGAGAGTTGGGAGCATGATGTCCAGCCACAACTCCTGGATATGGATATTAAATACAAGAATTGCGTTTGGACAATCAACACCAGACTCCCTGTCAAGTTTTGGTAGAACAGTCACAGCAACCTTTAGGCTTGGGATTCAGTCCTGCAGTGGATGGTTTGATAAAATACCCTGGAAGATTAATTGAAACACATAGAAAAATAGCTATGATAAAATGTGCAGAGTTCTTTCAAAAATTTGTAGCCTGTCAGCAGACTGATAATTAAAATATAAGCCATGGGTAGAAATGTGGTATTGAACTCTCAAATGCTTCAAAAATGTTTAAATATTCATTTTTTTAAAAATCTGTGAACCAGCTTATTAATGAGTTAAAGTGAAAAAATTAATTATTCCAATACTTACATAATGCACCATCAACAATATAGTAATTATAGTCCCAGAGAAGTTGTTATTAATCATGTATCCATATGCACATGGAACATTAAGCTATTTTTTCTTACTTTTTGAGGGTGTTTTTAATAAATATTTCTAAGTCCGCTTTCCTCTGCATCCATCTTCCACTACTTCTCGTTCATTTTGCCTGTCCCTTGTCCCCCTCTCTCTCTCTTCACTGATGTCCATCTCATTTCATGCAGGAGTGAGGTTACCTAAGAGACTGGGCTTCAATGAAGAAAATCTCCTTTTCTACAATTAACTGTGAAAGTGACAGAAGGGTGGGATCTGCATAGGGCTCCACACTAACATAAGGTATGGAGAGAGAGGAAAGATAGGGCAGTCAAAGGCAGGTAGTAAGACATGAAGACGTGAAATTTTCTTAAATTTGAATATCAAAAATATTACCCAAATTGAAGTGTGTTTGCTGACCACATCTATGGATGAATTTTGGATAAACCTTGCACTACTTTGCAGAGATTGCATTGATTAATTGCAATGTTTAGTTGCTATTTTAGATTTATTGAACATTATATGTATAGTTTTTAGACTAAATCACTAGATATATTTTTTGTTGTGTTACTTTCCACACACTCAGATTGCTTTGTAAGTTTCACATCTCACACTTGAATTGGGATTAGGCCAAATTAGGTTGCATTGCACTGATCGCAGTGGAAATGCATCATGTTTCACCATAATCTCTTAAAATTCAGAGGGAGTGACCAGTGGTTTAGGATGGAGAGATTTGCACAAAAGGGTGTGGCGTGGGAATGTTGCCAAAGGTCAGGAGTGAGGGTGAAAGGTCAGGGGTCAGAGCCAGCTGGACAGCACACAAGAGGAGATGAGGGTGAGAAAAGGAGGGGAGGGAGTAGTCCACAGACTGATTGACTGACTGCGCCCTATTGGAACATTAACATTGAACTGATGGGAGACTCACTGACCAATGGCTGATCAGGGAAAACCTGTGACACACTTGTGTAATGATCCGTAGAATTGAGAAGTGACATGATTTTCATCTTGGATGCAAAAGCAGTTATAAAAGATATAGCAGTGAATTTCAAGCTGCTATTTACTGACTTTATGGAGTTATTGAAATCCACACTGCAAATGTTCTTAGATACTAATAAAACATAAACCAGTGCTAACATTCTAGAAAGGTATTAGAAAATGTGATATTTGCAAATGAATGCATGTTTTCTATAATTTAGTAGTTTAGCTGCTCATCGTGGTGCATGCCTAATATCACTATTTGATTTTTAATGTTTTTTAATTGACAGCAGATATAATAAATTATAGTATCAAGCACAAGATATTTCCTGTGTTGTATGGTTTCATTTGTGATATCAAGGAGCTATATAAGGAGATATAATCATTTATAAATTGATAAAGAATAACACAGGTATTTGGAGGGATTATTTATTTACTTAAAAAAATAAGACATTTTGTTATGTATATAAAAACAGATAAACATACAAAACATACTATTTTGTATCAACTTCTTTGACATATGCAATTCTGCAATAGATAAAATTTATATACAGTTTATCATATTGAATAAGGCTTCATCATGTCCTGCTTCCATGGTTTATCAATTCTCTGTGTACCTCAAGGGTAAAGGAAGGAGGGTGAACGTCTGTATTGCAGATCTTCTGAGTGGCCAGCGAATGTCAGGTCAGTGAGTGCAGCAGGCAGCATGGATCAGGGCCATACTGGGTTGACAAACTCGCGGCCCCAGCCAAGGGGGTCAACATGCAAATAGTAACCCCAAGTTGAAAGGCACATAGATGATCAATTTTCCCACATTTTTCCTGCTGCCCATAAATGTGAATGTGCACGCCTATAAAGCAGAAACATTTTTTCTTTTGGGCGAGTGGGCGATCGTGGCTCAAGCCTTGTAATCGGAAAGTTGACGGTTCGAGCCCCGGCTTGGACAGTCTCGGTCATTGTGTCCTTGGGGAAGACACTTCACCCGTTGCCTACTGGTGGTGGTCAGAGGGCCTGGTGTCCAGCAGCCTCGCCTCTGTCAGTGCACCCCAGGGTGGCTGTGGCTACAATGTAGCTTGCCATCACCAGTGTGTGAATGGGTGGATGACTGGATGTGTAAAGCGCTTTGAGGTCCTTAGGGACTAGTAAAGCGCTATACAAATACAGGCCATTTACCATTTACTTTTTTTTCCTCTTGTTCGGCCGGCTGGGTGAGGGATTAAACGATGCCTGCTCTTGTAAATGACACATGTAGAAAATGTCATATTCATTAAATGCAAAGATTAAAAAACATTTTCATATCTATTTAAATTCAATATTAACAACAGAGGAGGCAGCTGTATTTCAACAGAGATATGATGTCATAACTTAGCATTGAAACAATCAGGATCACGGCCCCCAAGGTTCACTGGATTGATGGTGTAACTGAACACAGCATGAATTTTAAACCAAGGGGTGCACATGTCAGTATAGGAAAATGTGTTAATTTTTTCATACAGCACAATGAAAATGTTAACATTTGCATTACATTAAGAGGCACTGGCCCTCATTCATCCAGCACATGTGTTGCAGATAAAATTCAGTTTTTCTGTCTCGGGCAAACCTACCCACTGCTGCCCCCCAGTGGCCTCCATGGCACCACTAACAGCACTGCCATAATCCCTTTGAGGTCCTTCTCCTGGTAACCAGTTCTGGTAACAGCTAGACGTTGACCTAATCCAGAACCAAAAATTAAATTGAACAGTGTAGCGTAGACCCAGCCACACATAGGATGATGTAGCATTCTTTGCCTTTTGAGCAACCTGGTCCTGTATGTTTTTGGTCTTAATGTCAACAAGATCAAAATAATGTTTCCTGCAGTAACTCAGAGCTTCAATCCATGTCATGTTTTCTTGAATTAATATCATGTTTCCTTCTGGAAGAAAACGTGAAGAGAATTACTTAATTGCATAATTTGTAATGCAAAAAAAAATCAAAGATGTGAAATTTTAAACATACCTGGGTGCAAATTTTGACTGATTACACTGGCCGTTACGATTGAGGAATGTGTGGTGTTCTGGACTGAAGTCCTTATGTATGCTGTAGTGTTCTGGACTGAAGTCCTTATGTATGCTGTAGTGTTTGGGGTTGAAGTCCCTATGTATGCTGTAGTGTTTGGGGTTGAAGTCTCTATGTATGCTGTAGTGTTTGGGGTT